GGATCATTTTTAAGAAAAAAACAATCTGGACTTGCTAAAAGGAAAACACTACCAAGAAATACAAGACTGAATCTTTCACTGACCTCCTGGTAAGAGACTTCCAGATGACTGGCCTCCTAGCACACTCTCTCCACTCTGAGAGATGGGCCTCAGTTGTCTCTAGGACGACCATGTAGCTACCTGAAGCCCTAATACTACCTGGGATGTTTCTCTAGCTCCGCAGCTCTGTGACCTAAGTGTTAGCCAACCACCTTCACCTGCACTGTTTTTGCCATGTCCAATTTGTTCTAATATTTACTTAATATATGCCTTTAGATTAGCCTCACTTTAAAAAACATGTATGATATATATGAGCATATGTATGTATATACAGATTGAGTATCCCTAATCCAAAAATCTGAAATAAAAAATGCTCCAAGGAGCATTTCCTTTGAGTGTCATGTTAGCACTCAATAAGTTTCTGATTTTAGAGCACTTTGAATATTAGGAATAGGGGTACTAAACACACACACACACACGCGCGCGCATATACATATATATATATGTATGTATATGCATGTGTGTGTATGAGAATATACACAGCCTCATTCTAGCAATAACAAAAACTAAGCCATGGTTTCGACATGGTTGATGTCCTGTTCTTTTTCCTAATGCACATTAACATAAATACATAATTAAAAAGAAAAAATGTTCCTCCAGGACTGGGTCATCACATTCGACCTTCAAGGCCATCTGCTGGGGCAGGCAGGTACAACCTGCGATCTGCATTCTAGGGAAGATGGGACTCGGCCCCAGAGGGGAGGACGCTGACTCCAGGCCACCCCATCCGTAGCAGGAGAGCAGGAGTGAAAACCAGGGCCCTCCAGCTTCTTCCTGGGGTGAATTATTCCCAATGGGGACAGCTGGAATTAGGCCATGTTGGGATTCTTCCTGCGACACACCCTACACACTCCAGCTTCTCCAAAACGCCAACTTACGTGGAGTTCTGTTCTCCTTTCCCTCTTGGATTCACTCTCCTTTACTCTGCCCCAAAGAATCAGCAGTTGCTTTCGGGCGACGAACACACACACACACACATACTTTCCTGGCCAGCACTGAAAGAGAATCAAAACTACATACAGTTCACAGATCTGGTGACCTGGAGGTTATTTGCTTATTCTTAAAGAAACAGAACCTTTTCTTCAAAAATCACAATAGATCTGGCTCTCATAGACAGTCAACATTGAGCACCTACTATGCACCAGGCACTGAGCTGGCTGGGGACCCGGGATGCATGGTGAGCAAGGCAGACACAGACCTTGCCCCCAAGCTGCCTTCTTAGCCAGGCCCCCTGTGGCCCCTGTGAAAAGTGTAGCCTCTCCTGCCTCCCTCCCCACTGCCGTCCTTTGTCTCCATGGTCCTGGTCACCGTCCAATGGATTCTATAGTTTACTTTTACATTTTTTATTGTCTTCCTCCCTGACTACAATAGAACCTCCACAGGGCAGAGATCACTGTTGTGTGGCTGCTCCGTCCTCAATATCTACGGTCATCTCTGATGCAGAGTAGGGACTCAGAAAACATGTGTTGCACAAACAAACAGACATTGACAAAATCAAAACCACACACATAACACACACGTATATATAATTATATACACATTTCACTATAAACATGCGAAGTGCTCTGGGAAACAAGCATGGAGCACCGCGGTGGTGTGTAGCAGCAGGTGGGACAGGTTTGCTGAGGAAGTGGTGCTCGAGCTGAGCCCTAAAGGGGAGCGGGTGTTGGTTGGCAGAGGTGGGGGTAAGGGTGTGGGGGAGAAAGACGGAGGGCTCCCCACAGAGAAACGGTGTGTTCGAGGCCCTGGGGCAGAAAGGGCATGTCTGTTTGAGAGCCAGAAAGGAGGCCGATATCTGGAACGCACTGCAACGGGGGAGCAGTAGGGAGCAAGGCAGCCCACAGAGGACCATGGCGACCCACTACCTGACTCTTTCTTTAAAGGCCACGGGAACTCCAAAAGGGATTTAAGCAAGGAGATGACCATCAGATTTGCATTTCCAAAAGATCCCTCTGTTGCTGGGTGGGGAGTGGCCTGGAGGACCGTTAGGGAAGACCCGTTAGGAAGCTACTACGGCTTTCAGGTGGAAGAGGGCAGGACAGGAGCTAGGCTAGTGGCAGCAGAGGTGGACAGCAACACAGACGGAGCGGGTTGGTGAGGGTACAGCCTGCAGCCTCTGCTCACGCGCCGCGGAAGGCTTAGCAAACTTTTCTAGAAAGGGCCAAACAGTAAATTTGTGAGGTTTTATAGGTCTGTAGGAAGAATTAACATAGCATGTTTGTGTTGCTCTGTAGTAGGGCTCACTTGCAGGGTTGGCTCCTGACTGGTGTCTGGGAACTTGGCTTTTCAGATGTTGCCTATGGCACTAAGTGATACGGTTGTTTTGTGTATCTGGGACATTGGATTCCATGCAGGCTGCCTGCCTAGACCATTTGTACAGCAATGTGATTTGTGGGGAACAGCTGCTTTTCCTCTGAGAGCCTGGGATTCCAAGGGTTGAGACTGATCGTGCAGGCAGGATACCTGTGCAGCCAAAAAGTGCCCCCATTAAAAACCTGGGCCCTGACTCACAGGAAGGCTTCTCTGGGCTGAACAGGTGTGTACGTGCTGCCACATCTCAGCGCTGGAGGAAAGAGCATGTCCTGTGTGTCCCCTCCCTGCAGGAGGGAGACAGGAGAAGCCTGTGTGTGGGTTTCCTGCGGACCCTGGCTGGCTCATGTGGCTTCTTCTCTTGCTGGTGAAGCAAACAGATCACACCCATGAGTGTAACTGCCTCTGAGTCCCTCTTGTGAATCACTGAATGTGTGGTGGTCTGAGGAACTCCAACACAGCGGTTCATGTGGTTTCCGTCCCAACTACTCAACTCTGCCTTTGCAGCACTAAAGCAGCCACAGACAATGTGTAACCACATAATGTGACTATGTTCCAATACAACTTTATTTGTAAGACAAGCAGAGGGCTGGATTGGCCTGAAGGTGGTAGTTTTCCAACCTAGGCTCATGGAAAACCCAGGGCTCTCCAAGCCCACTTTGAAAACCACTGACTGAATTCAACCCTTTCATGTCATCAGTGGAGAAAATGAGGCCCAGAAAGGAGAAGAGAGGAGGAACTTGTCCAAGGTCACTCAGGATCAGTGGGAGAACCAGGGAAGTCCCCACCCCAACAACAGCCCAGTGTGCTCTCCGCTGAGCCGCTAACTGCTGCTCCGTGGCCAGCCTTGCAGCTGAGCACTGGCCTGGTGGCCAGGGCCTAAAAGGGAGGAGATGGTAGGAAATGGGGATGACTGGGGCAAAAGATCTGGATGGTGAAGCATCTGGCCTTACCTTGGTGTGTGTGTGTGTGTGTGTTCATAGGGCTCTGAGGTCGTAGGTGCCAACCAGATTTTCCTAAACTTTTCCCATCATCAGAATGTCCTCTGAAACTTCCTGATGACACTTATACCAGGGGCCATCTCAGTCCCACTGAAACTGACGCTCCAGGAGTGGGACCTGGCATCTGCATTCGTGATAAGTTCCAAGGTATTCTGATGATCAGCCAAGTTTGGAAATCCCGGGTGATACTCAGGACCTCCTGACTGACCACCGCGAGGAGAGGGGAGAACGGGGGATCCGTCCTGGAATAAGGCAGCATGTGTGGGCCTCTCAAAAACACACAGACCAGTGATTTAGGGAACATGTTTTCCAAAACTGCTTCTTCAATGGAGCCTTTGCCACCAGGGGCCAGAGTGGGCAAGGCCAGCAGAAGCTAATTTCCTTCTTCCTAGGGATTCTGCCTGCAACTCAGGACGGTCGCAGTGCAGGCGCCGGGGGCGCTGAGCCGCGAGCCCTGCGAGGCATGGCAGACTGAGACAAAAACGGGCCCTTCCCACCCCACTGTCCGCGCCGTCCCGCGGCGAGGCGCATGGGAGCCGCACTGCCACCCCGCTGCGAACGTCCTGGCTCCCTCACAGGGGTGACTGGAAGGCACCGACTGCGGAGTTGAGACTTCTTGCAAGCTTCACATTCTACTCGAAAGAAGTAATTCCATGTGTTCTGTGTCTGTTTTAGCAGAAAAATGGGTGCTTCCATGCCCACTCACAGATCTTTGAGTTATTTCGCACGTTATTTTGCACACTGCAATTACCTGGGGACCTTTAAAAGATACTGACGCCTGGGACCCAACCCCAGACACCGCATTTTAATTGGCCTGGGCTGTGCTCTGGGAATTGGGATTTTCAAAACACTCCAGGAGGTTTAACACATAGTGGAGGTTGAGAATCACCTCGCGGGTAAGATGCTCTGCTTCATCTCTTGTTCAATCTGTAGCCACTCAGAGAGGCTCAGGCATGAACAGCCACGGCTTACTACTCAGAGCAACCCAGGCCTGACCAGAGACACTCGCAGGCTAGCCAGGTTCTCCGCTCCCTTCCTTCCCGTGAGCTGCCCCACAAAGAAGATTACTCGCCCACAGAGGTCTGGTTCTCTCACTGGGATGCACTGCTGCAGAGATCTGTGATTTGGGGAGGGATTTTTTTTTTAATTTTTGCTAACTTCTAAGTGAAACTTAGTATTTGCTTCAATTATGAATGTAGGCAATGAACCGCAGTACCGTTAGCAGCAGAAACTCCAGACATTTTCATATCACAGTAGAGCTATCTCAACGTATCCTTTGTGCTCACTGCTGCTTTGAAGTCACGGCAGTTATCAAGTCTGCTCTGGCCCAGTCTACTTAAGATACTGATCAAAATAGTGCATATATGACCATGTCACAATTTCACCTTTTAAAAATGTTTTGGTAACTGCATTTCAAAATATTTGATTTCCTACACATTTAATTTATGCATTTAAGATTATCCAGAGAAGGAGTGCACACGCTCCCACCTGTTCAACCAGCCATCTAGCTTTGGCGGCTGGTGGCAGGGGCCCTGCAGAGGGCTTCCTAGTGGGGTGGGTGACACTGTGCATCAAGCAAGCAACTCTTACCTGTGGGTCGGAGAGCCGGGAGAGGTCGGGGTACAGGTAGAACTTGATGCCCTCAGAGGCCCCAGGCAACGTGACCCCGCGTATGAGGAGGATCAGAAGCATGACGTAAGGGAATGTGGCGGTGACATACACAACCTGTCCAGGAGAGGAGAGGACAGAATCAAGAAGGGGTGACAGTGACTGGCTTATTCCACCTGGTACAGCGTCCTCCGGGTCCGTCCGCGTTGCTGTGGATTACAAAAGGCCCTTCTTTTCCAAGGCTGACTGGTATTTCACGGCACGTACAGACCACGTTCGCTTCGTCCATTCATCTGCAGAAGCCAGTCACAGAAATAATGCATGATTCCATTTATGCGAGGCACCTAATATAGTCGAATTCATAGACTCTAAGGGTGGAATGGTCATTGTGGGGAGCTGAGGGAGGGAAAATGGGGAGTCACTCAGCACAGGGCATAAAGTTTCAGACAAGCAAGATGCACTTGACTTGCCGGATAGTGCTGTGCCTGGAGTCAGCAACCCTGCACTGCACACTTGAGCATTTGCTATGAGGGTCGCTCTCATGCCAGGGGTTCTTACCATAACACAACACAATGCAAACAGAATAGGAAGAAAGGATGATGGGGTGGGCCATGTGGCAAGCCCAGGGAAGAAGGGCTTCCCAGTGCAGCCCCCAGCCTCGTCCTCACCACCGTCCCCTCGGCAGCTAGGGTTTGACCAGGGTCCACTGGATGCCTGCGATGTGCTTGATAGCGTGCTCACTGAACATCCTGGACCACAGCCCAGGGAAAGAAACATGTATCACAACCTGGTACACGTAGAGCTGAAAGGAAACTGTAAAATAACACTTCATGTGTAATGCATGCTAACATTTTCTAGCAAACTCTGTTTTGGTGTTTTTTTAGAAAGCTGGTCATGATCCTCTAAATCCATTTCAGAATTCATTAATAGGCCAAGACTCACATTTTTGAAAACCATGGCTCTTAATGAAATTCGAGTTTTCATAGCCAAAGATAGGATAGGATGAGATAAAGAACACAAGAAAAGGGAAAGGAAGGGGAGGGGAGGGCAGAAATTTATTTGGGGCGGGAAAGACCCAGTGTTTGCCTGGAATGCTCTGGGCCTGGCCCTTTCGGAGCCAGGTGATGGACCCGGTGAACCCGGCAGAGCCTTTCGGCTGGCAGATTCCAGGTAAGAATCAAGACCGCGAAAGACGCAGAGACCTTTCCTGAGCTCCCTCGCACAGGAGCTGCCTGGAGGAGCGAGCAAGGCCTCGCTGCGGTTGTTCCCCGTTTCAGAGAAGTTAGGGCGTCTGGGTTGTAAATGACAAAGCAAAAATTTAAACCCCATCCTAAAAAACAGAAAATTAGAATGAGCAGGGGGTGGTGACAGGGTCCTGTGGACACAACCTGGAGGGCTGGATCATCGTGCCCAGACGACATGATATCCCCATCTACAGCGACGGCAGCCTCCCCAGCATGCTCACGGCCTGCCCTGCAGTTTCTGCAGCCCCGTTTCCAAATCAACTGTGGGCTCAGTCAACACGTCCTACAATCAATACAAACAGTCTCTTGCTGTCATATATAATGTAATTCAGAAAAGGTGCCTGCAAGTCAAATATATGAGAGGCCAGCAATCAATATTAATAACAATAAAAATAATAAGAGGCCAGCAATCAATAGGGCTAGATGGCGCCTGTACAGAGAGCGAACAGCGCTATAAAATCTCCAGTTTCACTTAGTGTCACAGGCAGCCTCTATGACAGATCTTCAGCATTTCACATAAATTCTTTATTCTTTGCCTCTAAATAAACCCCTCAATCAGCTTAAGTCTATAAAAAGTCAGGATGAAGCTGACTGCTTTCATTTAATAATTCCCACTTTTGTCTCTGTTGGGTGTCAGAAGATTAATTATCTAGAATGCCTAGGAGCTGACCTGTTTTGGGCTGGTGATATTTCTGGAACTTAGCTATCTTCACTCCTAAAGAACCTTACCATGTAAAAGGTAACCACAACTCAAAATCATAGAAATTTGTCCTTCACCTGTGGGACCACCTTGATGTGACCAGACTTACTGGTTGTGATGTGTCCCGTCCACATTGAGTGGGCTGGGCCACTGGTGTGTCCTTAAGGGGCACACTTAGAACCTGGCCAGGCACACCCTTGCTGTGGCCACACGGAGCAGCCTCTCTGCAGCTACTGCAGTGGCATCCCTTATTAAATGGCCGGTGATCATGTTGAAGCAATTCCATTGCTTAAAGTTCTAGATCGATGCTCTGCTTCTATGTTACCTTTAGAACTACACTCCCTCCACTGGTGTCCACACATTCGTTTTTACATTCCTTTCATAAAACCACAAGGGAAATAAAATATTCAAATGACTTGCTCAAAGACCACAGTGCAGGCAATGAATTGGGCTGCCAAAACGAAACCACTGGCTGCCAGGCATTCACCTAGAAAAAATCATTTGTAAGCCGAGGTTTGAGCCTCCAGCCAGGGTACAAAAGGTGGTTTAGGGGCATCATTGTGAAAGTCACACAAGTGGAGAGTGGTATGAAAGTTGAAATGCAACGCTGAGGACAGCTTTTATCTGTCCCTGGTCCTAGCTCTCCAAAACCTTCTTCTAGTCTGTTTTCTATCTTTGGCCATGCCAGGCACTTGGACATCCTCTTTGATGTTTCCTGAGAACAGCTGTATACTGTCAAAACTCTACAGATTTAGTCTTCAAGGGATTGCACATAAATGACCTACAGGCTGCCACTCTCCCCACCCCCACCCCCACCCCCACACTCTCGCCAGACATCACTAATTGATCACAGCACTCTTTGCAGCTAAGACTGGGTGGCCACCATAATCAGCTGTGATGAAACTCATCCATCTGCTACGCTTGGTCTAGTTCATGTGTTGTTTGTGCATTCTCAGAGTTTCCTGCAGGTTGACAGAATGCTAAGACCTAGGTCTCGTCCTCAAGGACATGTACACATGCAGGAATGACACTCCTGGAGTCACGATACCACACGAGCAGGGTCAAACAAGGCAACGAGGCTATAGAACAGGTTGGGAAAGCACTTCCAGGGTCTCTAAGAAGGGATGCAGCCTTCTCCTATCTGCAAAAGTGGGCTGAAGATGGGTCTCCAAAGATAAGCAAGGAATGGAAGAGGCTGAGTCAAGCAGGGAAGATACAGAACTAGCCAAGGATGCAGAAACGGGCACAGAGTATTGACCCTGCGGACATCTAGGAGCTTCCAGGTTGTCACCCAGGTGCTCAAGCTGGAGTTAGTCTCACCTCTTCCCTCAGCTTCCCCCACATTCAATCAGTGAGCATGTCCTGCCAACAGGCTCCCCAGCTATATTCTGAAATATACCCTGTCTTCACCTCCCTCACCAGGGCCCGTCCCCTCCTCTCTTCTTGGTACTGACAGCCTGCCCTGTCCACACTGCAGACGAAGGTTCAAAACCGCTACGCTGGCATGTCTCTGCCCTGCTGCTCTGGCCTAACCTCCCAGCCTCACATTCACAGCGGTGGGACATGTTGAAAGGGCTGGGCTTTGAGTCAGATGACCCCAGGTTCAAATCCTGGCTCTGCCCAGCTTGCCGTGTGACTTGGCTGGTCTCCACCCTTCCCCGGCTACCAGGTTCCCTGCTGGGGGAGGCTTCTTAGGCCTCCCTGTCTTTCCTTGGCCTAGCCTTTGTCCACAGGGTCCACCCCCAGCTCCTCGGCCACCCAGGGTGTCCGTCCCGCATCTGAAACCCCACGAGGCTCAGGACTCCTCCAGTCAAGAACCGACTGTCCGATCTGCCTTAAACATCTGGGAGCGGGGGCTCAGAGCGGTCCATCTAGCACCCTCTGTCTCACCACAGGGGCTGCCCACATGCTGCGAGGAGGGGGAGCTGCCATGCCTTCCCCGACCCCACCCCACACCCATCACCCGACATTCCTGCATCCTCCCGCACCTAAGGCTGTTCTCCTGTCTTGTAAGTTTAAGATTTATAAAGTGTAGGAACTTCCTGTCTTTTATTCTCGCTGCTGTATGCACAGCGCCCAGAACAGTGTAAGATACATAAGATGTGTTCAAGACTATCTGCTGCATGGAAAGACAAGTGAGCAGGCCGAGATGTGGGACTCCCGGAGCAGCATGCAGGTCTCTGGGAACAGCGCTTTGTGCTGTGTCCAGATGAGATGCTGGAGCCACAGAAAATGGGATCCAGAAAATTGGATCAGATTTTAAGAGGAGTGCTTATAAATAAGGACACGAGGGATTAGGTTTTAAAAGACGGACCAGGTAAGATACAGAAGGCAGGGAAGTTCAACGGCAAGGTGCTTCCTGGCATACTCAAGAGTCCCTTTCAAGACATCTGAGGCCCCAGATTTGTCTGAAAGAGGCAAGAGGCCACAGCAGGGCTCGGGCATTATGCTAAATCATGCAGTATTTGGTGATGGGCATGATAAGGTCTCTGACAAGGTACCATCAAGCCTGGCTGCTCCTGGCCACTGCCAGTGGTGGCTCAGACCCAGAGAGGGGGCCGTGGGGAAAGGAGAGCCCAATCTGTCAGAACTCTCAGGTCCGTGAAAGGAGGGCTCACTGCCCAAAATACACCCCTTGGTTAAGAAAGAGGTTTTTAGTATTGTTTAATATACCCTTTCAGCAGGTCAAGCCTATCTGAATATAAAGGTTAGCATAATTGGTCGTAATTATACTGTATCCTGTTTTAATTGACCCTAATTGCTCATTTGCATCCTAATACTGGAATTGTGGGTGTTTCTCTCCCTACTTCCAGGACATAGCTATTTATTTCCTAGCAGGGAGATTGTCTGATCATTGGGAAGGCCACAAAAGTTTAGAAGGACTGTCCCATCCTAAGTCTCCAGGATAGCAGGGTCAGTTGGGAAGCTGAGTGTTACTCAAAAGGCATTTGGAATGCAGGTCAGTGCAAGGGCAAGGACCTAGGACCACAGGGCCAGTGGACCCCACGTGCTAGGCAGCTTGGGCAAGTTCGGTCTGGCATTTCACCATCTACAAAGAGGCAGGGATAGAGTAACCAAGCTTCAATCACTCATACCTTTTTCCCAATTTTTTTTCTATATACATGTATCAACTTTGTATTTACTTAATATTTTCTGTAAATCAGTATACTATC